GAAGTATCTTTCTGAGCTGGAATTTAAATTAGTGGTTCTGGTAGCTGCTGACAAATCTCTTCTAACTAGTACAAACACTCTCACAAATCTCAGAGCTGCTCACAAGTCTTTTAACCAGAACAAACACTATAAATGTATCTGTAAATTACTTATAATATTATTGATCTTCATATGAGCAAACATCCTATAATTCATTCAAATTAACAAGAACTTTCTTAAGTATAGAAGATTAAATAGGCTTCTACTTTCTCATCAAAAAAGTCTGTAAGAGAGGAGACTGGCAAAAGAACTGAAAATGGCTGATCAAGTGTCTCCAGCCTTGATATCTAAGATATTACTATAACCCCAATACTTTAAAATATATAGAGATCTCAAGATTAAAGACACAGGGAAAACCATAATGGATGCAACGCAGACCTGTGTGGCTCTTCAGAAAAGCAGACTGCAGCAGCTGTGCCACCCCGTCAGCATCTTTTACAACAGGCAACAAATAAGCAAGGTATCTTCCTGAGGGCACATATTGTGCAATTCACAAACCGCTTATTTTTCACTCAATATTGGTTGTTTGGTGTAGAAACAGGTATTTATAAATTGAGAAATCCTTGCTATCTGCTGCCAAATTATGCAGAAGCTGTCTCACCTGTTCCAGATTACTGTAGTGTACATGGCAACAGTTGCAGTATCCTTGTCTATTCTGCACAGTCGATACTCCAGGCTGAGGATGTTCTTGTCCTCTTCTGTGTAAACTGAAAGAAGCGTGTAATATTGTCGAGACATGCTGGATTGTTTAATTCATGTCCTTAGCATGGAAATTCTAAATATCTATCTTACTACAGAGATGGGATAAACTTCCAAGATAAATGTTTCTATCTTAGAATTGTAATGGTAAGTGAGACTATGTCTTTTAAAGTATTCTGAAGCAAATTTCACTAAAGAACTTTTTCCTTAAATACAAATCAAAGAATAACAGCTTGAAGATAAAGTTAGCTGAAATCTGAAAATAACTGCCTCCAAAGAAAAAGGTAGAGTCATCTTTTCATTCATCTGTTTGTTAGTATTTCGAAATAAAAGAAGAAAAGACCAAAAATCTTGACATCCACACAGTAGTTTGGGGCACTACAATGTGCCTTCCCCACAGTTTTTAACAGTACATGGGTGTAATATACAAAGGACCTCCAATTATACACTCAATCCATTTTGTGTTGCTGTCATCCATTACACAAGGTAACAGATAAGGCTGAAAAGCAGATTCTTCCCATTTTACTTTGGTAAGCAGTAAGCTGGAAGCCACTTAGATCGTCACCTAACTTACCTGCTACTGCTGTCCTGTCGTGGAGAGCCCTCAACATCATGTCTTTGGATTCCTACAGAAAAACAAAAACAACAACCAAGAAATAAACCACCCAAACACACATGTAGAAAACACAAAATCCGACAGAGTATCACAGAGATGGAGAGTTTTATGTGCACTAGCTACTTCTCTTACATCTCTACTTTTCTTGCATTTGTCAAAACTACTATTTTAAAGGAAGATAAAAGATTTAGTAAGTTCAAAACAGCATGAAGACATTCTGTTGTCAGCAAAGTTCATCCAACAATTTCATAAAATAAGCTTTACTCTTTCATAGCTTAGGTGAGTTTTTCTACTGATTTGTCTGGATTCAAGAGCAGGCAATCTACATTGGTATTGCAACATCCATGATTACTGAGATAAAATGTAAAGTGTCTCAAACAGTTTTCAACAGGACAAGAAAATTACACCTACATGGAAACTTTGTGGATGATTCAGAAGTCACTCCTTCCATCTAAGTTCCGTAATGAAATTTAAGAAATCAAAGCATGCAATTGAACTACAAGATAAACTAATACTTTTATTGATAGTTATTACATTTTTAAATGTAACCTCAACAAAAACAATCTTGAACTTTTTCAACTTCTTACCTTGTGCTGAAGAAGCAGAAGCTTCATCAAGTCGTTTGATTCTCTCAAACATCTGTAGGTAAAAAAAATTTTTACGTAAGTCCATCATCATACTCACTGTATCCTGAAGCTCCAAGCTCCAAGCTCTTTAAAAGTCTGAACTGCTTCAGCTACAGACCAATACCTGATTTAAATGAAGCTGTATTCTAAAAAGAAACTTCTGCTTTACTAGGTTACCCTAATATTACATTTAACAATACATTTTATCTTTGATAGAAGGGGCTAACTTTTCATTAATGAAATCAAATACTATAGTTATGAGTACAGCCCACACTCTGTTAGGTTATTAAGCAATAATCTTGTCAAATTAATTAAATTACTTACTTTCCTAAGTTGCCTTAACAATTAAGACAGGAGATATATGTAAGAAAACCCATTTGAGACTATACCAGACAAAGTAATTCTCTAGGCTGGAAAAGAAATCCTTATTACTCAAAAGATCTGCAAATCAATTTTGAATCTCACAATTTTTAATAAAAATATGACTGCAGCAACAAGCAGTTATGTGCTGTAGGGTGTCCAAACACAAAGGACTTCCAGGTGTCACACAGGCCTTTTATGCTACGGATTGTAAGCATTAAATCACCTTGTTAGTACCTACCTTAGAGTCACCAATCTTCCTCATCCACCAAAGCTGACTCCAGACTAGCAAGCAATAAATGTCAAACAGGAGGCCATTTGCAGTGCAGGACACTTCTCTCACCCCATCTGGCAACATGGAAGTTTAAGAGACATTTAAAATAACATTAATAATGCATGTTTTCCATGCCCTAAGGCATTAAAATTTTTCTGTACCATTTTGCAAACAGTTAACAAATGGATAAACCTTTTTGAAAGTCTGCAGCACATTTTTCTTAATATGGAAGTAATTTTGAGAGTCTTTCCTATATAAATGTTACCCATTCCTTTTGGAATGGGCCCTGTGTACTAAACATTGTTATCACTTCCCAGACTATGCACTGCTCATGATAAAATACCTGAGCTGTTATAGCAGTTATGGTCAGAAGGAATACCTTAGCAGCTCAACTTTAAACAGCCCCTCACCCCCCAAAATGAAACAATCCACCAAAACACCAAATTCCTTCTACGTCCCATTGTGTTGGAATTTATGTAATAATATTAAAAAACAAAATAAACAAGAAATTACAGCTTTTCTAATAAACCTTTTCATCTGGCAGCTGAGAAAAGCTTTTTTGATAGATCAGCTGATCTCAGTTGTCCTGTTCTATTTCCTATGCACTGCCAGGACCCGAAAGAAAGTGAAGGAACAACACAGAAAACTACCCCTCATGAGCAATGCCTTATGTAAAATCACTTGTTCTACCTGCTTGAAGTTGATTTCCTGCTGTTTTAAGTCTTACATACAATCCTATGATAAAGCTAAAAGTGTGGCAAGAGCGTAGCAACAACAGAGGAGGCGACCCCACGGGTGAGGCAGTCAGGCAGTTCCACAGCCAGAAGGGGACACCACAACCATTCATCCCCATCCACTGCCCCAAAAGGAGATTAAAGCACCTGGAACACCAACGTTTGAGTTCCATCTCAAAGATGCTAAGCAGTGGTAACTGCAGTATGTTGGAGGATGGAGGAAGACCTATTGTCTTAGAGGAATTTCTTAGAGGAAAACCTATTCTCTTTGTATCAGTATTTTGAAAAACCATAGTGTACAGGACAAAGAAATAAGTCTTAACTCAAACTAGATACAGCTTGCTTAGCATCTGAAGTCAAGCTTAACCCACAAGCTAATATTAAGGAAATCTGCTATGTAGCTGCCTTATTTATCTTGCCAAAATCTGGATGGCCTGAGATCCTTACTTTTTTAAAACAGGGACTACAGCTATAAATCCACCAAGGATTTTTCATGTGTCCAAGGAAAGACTGCAAAATTCTGCCTTAGTTAAGCTCTTGATAGTGGGAACTATCTTAAACTGTTGGATTAAGAGTAAATAAATAATATCTATTCAAGATAAAGCTTAAATATTTTACAATTTTAAAAAATCCTTTAAATTGTAACAAATGTATAAACAACCAGTTACATACAGAAATTTTGATTTGCAAACTTCTAATCAAGCTATTTTAGTGTTGTTTCTAAAACCAATGCTTTGTTTTGGCTTCATTGAATTACTCTGTGTACAGCAGGTAGAGAACGAAAAACTTGAATCAAGTTTAACAACACAACCAAAAGGTATGAAACGTACACATTAAAATTTTTTAAAATAATTGAAAAAAAAAATCAGTGGTGCATTCTGATAGTAACTGAGTGTCAAAGGCATCAGATAAACTCTCCAGACAGTGTCACTCTTGCACCGCAACAAGTAAAACAGAAAGGGTGAAATAGCAATAAAAACTGCTCCTCGAAATACGCCTCACAAACACCTCTGCCACCCCTTCTCCCGAGAGCAACTGTGCTGGGCAGGCAGGGGGAGAACAAGTCCCTCCCCTAAGCAGAGGGACCTGCCTTCCCGCAGCACTGCCCCACGGGGAGGCGAGCGGCAGCTCCCCTCAGCAGCGGCTCTGCCCCGCGGCCTCACCGCAAGGCGCGGGTCCCGTCCCGGCCGCACCGAGCCCGCGGTGCCCGCCTCGCCTCGCCTCGTCCCGTCCCGTCCCGTCCCCCGCCGGGCCCCGCCGCTCGGGGCGGAGCCGCAGGGCCGGCCGGCAGCCGAGGGACCAGGGCCGGCCGTGCCCGCGGAGCTCCGCCCGCCCCGCCGGGAGCCGGCGCCCGCCGCCAGGCGCTGAGGGGACGCCGCGCGCTCGCTCGCCTGCCCGCTCCCCATTCCCCGCTGCCGGCTCACCTCCATCATTCCCCGTTCGCTCTTCAGTGCCGCCCGGGGGTCAAGGGACGCCATCCTCTGCTTCCTGCTCCGGGTCGGCGGGCCGCGCCCCGCGAAGGGAATGGCGGGAGCTGCGGTTCCCGGGCCGCTGCTCCCGGCCTGGCGCGGGCGCCTCCTGCCCCGAGCGCCGCGCCCCGCCCGGCCGGCATGCGGCCCGGCTGTGGGGAGCGGGCTCTGCGCGGCTCGCACGGAGCGCCGGAGCCTCGCAGCCTCGCTTCCTGCAGCACAGGCGCTGGAAACTGCTCCAGAGCACCTCGGGGTGGCGTCTTTTGTCAGCCCCGGCCGGTGGTATTGGTTACGGAAAAGTTACCTCTTAGCTAAGTTTCGTTTCAGCAACTGTCACTTTCTCCTTCAAAACACACTATTTCATATACTTGAGAGCAGGCTAAAGTGTTACCTTATTTTATTTTATTTTCGGCTATTAAAAGCTTGCTTTACATGGTGTGCTTTGTTCAAGTAGGTTTTTATCAGAACGTTAAAGTCTGACTTGGTTATCAGAGTTAATGCTAGAGCTGCTTCGCTTATAAGTGGGCTTAAGAATGTGACCTTACCTTAGGTTCTTTTATTTCTATTTATAGGGTTTTGACCGGTTATCTAATCTCCTGTGGGAAACCAGCCATTGCATATTTCTGTCATTATTGCTGAAGCAGGAGCGTATTTAAGTAATCCAGGCAGTCGCAAAGTCAACACAACACCCTTATGTGTGAAGACAGGTGCAGGTACAGGCTCGGATTGTGCAGTGGAGGGAAAACGATCCTGAATGCACTGCAATAAGGAAAATTTAAAGGGGTTCCTATAAAACAGCGCTGCTGTTTGGCTGTGTGATTATGAAACCATGGCTTTGAAATGTCCACCCACGCTGAGCAAGTAATTCAATACAAATTTCACATGACAGAAGAGTAGGAGAAGGCCTCTCTTTAGGAAGGCTGGATTTAGTTGCTGTTGCATTCTTTTGATACATGCATGCCTATGAATATATCTTTTTTGCTGAAAAATAAATATTAATTACAAAACAAAAGTTGCCTGATGATAGTTTCTTGCCTAGTACGATACACAACTTGGGAAAATTGGAACTTTCAGCTGAGAGCATTTGCATGTGTGGAAGGCTGAGGCACATGCCCAAATTACTGCATGTCAGCAGAGTTCATTGTTTAAACATGTGGCAAACACATATATAGACATGTTATCTTAGGCTAAAATAGTTTACTTTTATGGTGGTTTATGGCAGGATTAGTGAGTTACTGTGGCTCTGCTAACTCCATAGCTTACTGAAACAAAGGAAGCTTGGTTACATAGCTAAGGCACTGAAGTTTTTTTTCCATGATAGCTCATGTGAAACAGAAGCCTTTTTTAGCTGTGAGAAATCTATGCAGTCTGTCTTATAATGCCATACAACATGTCTTCAGAATATTCCTGAATATTTTTGCAAGATAGAATGTAACATTCTATCTCTTCACTTGTTGCTCAAGGATAGCAGAATTTAGGCTTGTTTTGCCAAGTGTTTCTTAGCTTTCAACTCTTTCTTTATTTATGAGCTAGAGGTTGCACCTTGATTCACATTCAGGTAAGGCATTGAGATTACTTTCCTTCAGTCTCCTCTTTGCACTAGGGAACTACTCCTCACATATGTGCATGAACATTGAGTAGGGCTGACAAACTCTCCTTCCCCTTAAAAAAATTATACTTTCTCCTGATCTAAGCATCAGACATTTTTTCCGTGCTGGTATCTTTACTCATGTGTTCAGAATTTAAAAACTGCCCCATACCTTTCACTGCATTGCTTTCTACTTTTACTTTGATTTGTTGTGGTTTTCAATTCTGTTATCCAAATGTAACTCAAAGATGTTTCTATAAAATCATTAAGACTAATTAACAAAGACAGACTTTTTCTTAAAGAGTGTCAAATAGCTTCCAACAGCTGGGTTCAGATTGGAAAATAGAGAATGTGATGAAAGAAAATCAAGCTTGGTAAAACTAGCTGGCAGGAAATTCTCGCTAGGTTTTTAGTTTGTTGCATATGTACTCTATGCATTCTGATAAGGCTAATTTATCCTTAAATCATTGCTTTGGTAAAGTTCTCCAAAGGATCTGAGGTAAGTGTTGACTGACTGACAGTTGAAGGTCTGGGGCTTGAGCCATGCAGAGGTAATTTTTGCCAAATGTTCCCAAAGATGGGTTGCTGGTTTTAGCCTGGATTATAATAAGGCAGTGTGACTACATGTGTAGATTTTAGAGAACTTCACATTCTGAGTAACCTTGGGGAAGAATATCTTTCCAACTTTACAGATGAGTGGCTGTTCCATAGTGCCTGGCACTATATAAAAACCTTTAATTCCTAAAAAGTAATTGTAGTCTTTCTCTGAAAAATCTGATGTTGGCCACTGGCCAATATCAGGTGTCAGACTTATGGAACAATTATCTGGTGCTCTATGGTATTCTAATTTCCCACTTTATTATGGATTCTGTAATATTTAATAAGGCTTTCCAAACTAAAAAAAAAAAAAAAATTCCTCGTGAGTGCAAAAGGCAAGGAAAATCTAAATCTCTTCATAAAACAGAGCTTCTTGTTTTCTTTGCTCTGTTTTACTCAAACATTTTGCTGGGTTTGACAGATTACTGTTACACATTGTTTCTTCTCTATTATAAGTATTCTAATTTTTTAATGAAAAACATATGTTTTTAAAAATAATAATGGTCTTTTATTTACTTCGATAGAGCACTGAAATTAAATGAAAACCAAGACCAAATTTTTCTCTTTTTTTGAAAGAGGCAGATTTATTACGGGCATTCTGCTTGCTTTCTCATTATCTAAAACTGAACTTTGCTTTTTGTTTTGTATTCAAAGTTGTTGTTTTTTTTTTTAATTTTAGCATAAGTCCTTTAACCTGAGCTAATAATAAAAACATCCTTAATATGCAGGATATTAGCTTAACCCCAAAACTTAAAATATACTATAAAGGTTATTGCTTTTGCTTCTCATTTTCTTGCCAGAACAGCCTTCTTAAGATTTAAAGTTTAAAACTTAAATTTTCTTTTTAGTTGCTTAATTGTGTAATCGACCACATTGGCAGTTATGTTATAATTGAAACATGATTGGATAGTGACCAAGAAAAAAAGTTTGAGATATCATTTAGAAGCTTTAAAAGGGAACTTTAAAAATAATTTTTTAAATGCTGGGCTGAACATTGTCTCCTAAGATATTATTTTACTTTCTTGTAATCAGATCTTTCATTTTTAAAAGATTACTTGAAATACAAAACAATTTGACTCTTTTTCCAGTATCTTATTAGAGGAAAATCCTCACCTAGTCTATTTTTGTTGTTATTTGGAGGCCATGCTGCTGCTTTCCACAGGCTTGCCTTGTCAGTTTGTGGGTTCTACGCATTTTTTCCACTAAAATTGCTCTCTGTATTTTATTTCTGTGTACATGTACAGGATATAGAGATTTTTATTATAGTAGTGCTGAGAAAAATTCTGGGATGCACTGATCCCAGAGGGTTTTATTACTGCTGTTGCTGTTCATTTGCTGGCAGGTTGTCCAGAAGGAACAGCTGAGGAGACAACTCTAAAAGGATTGCTTTAAACAGTATGGATATAAAATGTATCCAAATCCAGCGCTTTCAGAAATTTTCTGTATAATGGGCTTCTAATCATCTTACATTAGACTTCAAATCCATAACTTAGCTTTGCTGAAATTGTTTTGAATCTTTCCATCAGCTTAAATTAACTTGTTTTTAGGGTGTTCTGTTCTAAAAGAAAATGCAAAGAAAATAAATCAGCAGTTGAGAAATTTGTATGCTAAAAAGCATTCTGCTTTCAGAGAACATGTTTTCATCATAAAATGCTGAATAGTTTACTGTTACAGTAATTTCTGTTTTCAGTTAATGGTCAGTTAACTTCTCCAAAATAACTCTGCCTGATTTTTTAGGGTAGTGACATAGAGGAAAGGTCTACGTCAGTAGTTAGGCTTGGAGTTGTCTGTACATGCCTGCTCATTAATTGCAGGATATTCTTTGACCTTCATGTTGTGCATGGTGGTTTTTTTATCACTTTAAAAACAGCTGTTCCTTAGAATTTCTCTATTCTGTTTTTCTATTGTTTCATATTTACTTCTAAATATAACACCAATTTTAAAATTGTCTGATTGATAAGGTCAGATTGACCGTAGAGAATTGCAAGATTTTTGAGTGTTACTGTTGATTACCAAATTACTTGGAACTATATGATAATTTCTGACATGTATGTGCTGAAAGATACAGTGGAAAGTCATGAAATTACTCCATTTCCTCCATGCTCAAGGGGACTCTGCATCCTGAGAGCCTTCAGTTATGAAGGCAACAGAAACACCAGAGGTTCTTGTGCTAACCTCACTCACATAACATGATGGAAATACACTTATACTCAGAACTTCATTAATCTTATAATTGTCTATATAGCACAATATTTGCTTTAGCCTGCTTTTAACCATCCATTTTGTTAACAGATAAGGTAACAAATGAATGTAGCTTTTTAATCAGATGCCAATGTGTTTTGAAATATTTTTAATAAGTATAGTAGATGACTAATACTCCCTTATAGCCTACCTCACATTTTGTCATAGTAGGAACTCAAAGCATTTTTGCATAAGTATATATTAATTCCCATTACTCCAACAGGCAATAATGACTTTCTGATACAAAGAGATAATTTTCTCAAAGCTGCTTGGAAGTTTATTAATTCTGTTTATCAATAATTTTCAAGCTCCCAGAACTTTAGAACCAGCTTTTACCCCTTGTAATATTCTGAATTAAAAGTTTATATACATCCATTTTAATGGAACTTTTCTGATTTTAAATAGATGCATATGAATTTAAGAGAATCTGGAATGTAAAATGCTCCCACAGCTTCCTTGTCTGTAGTGCAATTTTTAGGAGTTGAGAAGTTCCAAATATATACTATTATGTTGAGTCACTGGGTGTTCTGCAGTTTAAGGTGGGGTCAAAATGTATTCCCAAGGAAGTTAAGTAAGTGTTATTTTTCTCTGCTCTGGCTGCTCTAAATCATATAAAACTTTTTTAATGTTCCCGCAATAAAACCACATAAGATATTCTCTTACATCTGAGAAAAAACAGACTCTCTACTTTGCTTTACCATGGGAATAATTAAAAAAAAAATTTTCTTTATCCTATTCAGGAAGCAAGCAGAAATTTAAACAAGAGAAATCCTGGAGTTAAACAAGAAAAATCCTGGGGTTTTTTCCCAAGGACAAAACTTAATTTTAGGCTAGAAATGCTGGCACGTTAAAACACTAGCCTTCAAAAAAACTCTCTTTCCTTTATAGTTTGAAAACACATAGGAAGATTTTAAAAGGGAGAAAAATAACTTTTAAACAAAAAACCTTTAATTTGATTTGTGTTTCTTCAGCATTTCATATACTATTACTTTTGATCAGAGTTTAGCTGCTTGCTTTTTCTGATCTATGTTGTTAGATTGTCTGTGTTTCTAATACTGAAGTAATTAGAGTTCAATTTCTGGATTGCACACAAATTACATATAATTAGGGTAATTTCCCTTTGCCTAGTCTTTCAACCTGAAATGGAGAAGTGATTGTTCCCTTCTCCACAAGCTTTCCTTCTCTTCTCTTGGAAGAAGGGAGCCTATTTTGTCTTGAAAAGACAAGTAGCAACTTAAATATCCTTTACATAAAATGCTACATCCAATCTCATGGATTTGGCATTTTATGTAAAGGATATGGACTACCAATTCATGTAAATTCCATATTGAAGTTCATGCTGAGTTCTGAATTTGGGTCATATAGTCTTCTTCAAAAATAGATTGCAAAGTAAGGAGGATTTAAAATTAACCTTTATGTGTCTTGATAGAGCTTAAGTATCAGAACTAGAATGGTCAAATAAATATTGCGGGATTTAGCTGTCCTTTTGCTTAGACTGATGTCATATGCCTCATCCCCTGAGCCTACTGCTGACTTATTAGACATGGTGTTAATTTTGCTTTTATTGAAGACCAAGAAAGAGTGAAGGTTGACTTATACACTGAGCCCTTAACTAGCAAAGTGTTTTTCAGAGCATGTAATAATTTGCTTTGCCTCTATCACAAGTAGCAAGTTTATAGGGATTTATCAGCTCCCAACTCATTAGAGGCTAAGAACTGGGTAGGATTTAGCAGCAAAACTGTCATCAGAGAGGACAAATGCAGAGCGCTAGACAGAAACTTGCATTGGTTCTCCCTGTCTCACATTCATTTCTATAGATAAATAACTTAAGTCCTTGTGGAGTCAAGGTCATGTGTTCCACAAAACATGTTTGCATCAACTAAACAGAAAAATAGTCTGATAAATGTAGCTGACTATAAAAGGAAACTTTAATAATACAAATTAATATGTATTGAAACCACCAAACCAGGAGCTCTCAGAACATCTATAGGTGATTGAGTTTGATTTAAATTTGATTTGCATCAGCTTTGTATTTGGTGGTCAGGAATCATTCCTCATTGCAAGGAAATACTGTCCAATTTAAAACCTTAACATGTTTATAATTCTTAAGGAATGTCAATGGCTGATCAAGTATTGTAAAGAGTAACCAGCAGGCTCTAAAATTCCACATGTTCACAGGTGTTTCTCTTAATTTAGATTTTGAGCGTCAGTAGTGCAATGCAGCAACCTCGCTTGATCATATGTGAGTCCTGAATAGGCACCCTGACTATTAGCATACATTTTCAGGGAACTGCCCAAATTTTGTATCAACACTCAGTTTTGCTCTGTGTCTTTTTCAGGGAAATGGAATCCTTTTCAGTTTCCCCTCTCCATTTTGTTTGTGTTTAAGACCAGCTGTGTCTCAGTGATCACAGTAGCCAAGAGCAATAGTCTAGCTGTAGAATAGTGAGGGACAGGAACTGGTGATTGTTTCCTTCATGCAAATCTGCTTGCTTTATGCATTGTTATTCATCATAATAGTCTTCAGCAACTTGGCTGTGAATTGTTGATAGCTGACTGCAGAACATGAAACAGAAGCGCCTCTTGGGTCAGGAGTTTTGCCCATTGTAACATCATAATGTAATCCTGTTTGAACTGTGGATTTGTGGACTTAATACAAAGACATATAAAAGGGGGAAACTCAGTCTTTGCACTTTAAATGGAAAATAAGATCTCTGTTTGTTGTAAGCATAGGCATAAGCAGTTATGCTGGGACTTGCATCCTGAGTAGGTGGAGCAACCTCAGTCCTGAGGAGGTGTGGTTAAAGTTCATCCCTGAGTTTCTGGTTTCTTTGAACCCAGACTGGCTAGGCTTTGGGCAGATTTTGAGACATCTGACTCAATCCAAGGTGCAGTAAATTCTGACTTCACTCCTCAGACCTGTCTACAGAGGTTACTCTATAGTTCCAGCTAATTTATGTGAGGTGAAAAAGAGCAAGTTGGTTAGTCCATACACCAGTACTGAAGATATTAAAATATTTTGTGAAATACATAGTGAAACAACTATAGTTTGCATAGCTTATTTTTGTGTCTCTAATCTCTGTAATCACTCTGAAATAATTTTTCCAAACACTGGCATTCCTTTCCATGGGAAAAGACGGCACTTTGGCTAAAATGGAAAAATACTGTTGTTGAGTTGGCTAGTTAGCTATTCAATTAATATAATCTTTAGCACTCAATGACATATATCAGAAGCTTGGTTGTCAAGACACACTCTGAAAATTCCATGGATTTCAAGTGTTATCTAAGTGGCAAGTATTATGTCTTGTATTATTGTCACATTAATATAAAACTTGAATACCTGTGGTCTGAAAGTTATATAGAAAATAATTCCTACTTACTTGTGGAAAATGAGAAGAAATGCACATATAGAAGCAAAATCTATGGAGGAAAAAGGGTATTTCTAATGGTATTTTTTTCCAATGTATCATATAAAAATACATTATATAATAACATATAATACATACATCATATAAATATATACTATAATAAATTATTCTCTAATATTCATTGTTTCATAGAATTAACACCCTGCTGACTGTGTTTGCAGGAGTTACATGAAGTGCTGCAACTTGACCTGGTATGTACATGCATTCATATATAGATGTATAGCCAAGCCATATATGCTTGTGTGTTTTGACCTGACTAAAGTAATGAGGAAAGATTTTGCCTTCTGCAGAATTATTGAATTTCTTCAATGTGTTATACATGAAAATCTTTCAGATCGTTAATGTCAGCATAAAAAGAGGTGTGGACCTGCCTAAATGAGCCAAATCTTCCTTCATCGGGTGGTTTGTTCAAATGTGTTGCTGGAGAATTTTGTCAGAGTTGCTGACTCTGGTATATAGTGGGTACTTAAGCCACAAGTAAACATTACATTATCCTTTACCTAAAGGATAGGCATGAATAGCCATTAGTTTCACAGGAAGGGAGGAAATTACCCTTTTCCTGATTGTCACGTAGTTAAACGTGGTTTTTCCAGAGTGGATTTTAGTCGATGAAGTATTCAAACAGTGAGGACAAAAGAACAATGAAGAATTACTTTTCTAAAAAAAAAAGACCTAACTGTAAACAGCAGTAAGTAGTTGCTTTCTTGTGTTGCTCAGCTTAAATTAACCCTGAGAAAAACTAAATACCTTTTGTTTGATCTAATTTGCAAATTCTTGGTTTGTACAGTTTAACTGAATTAAGGAACATTGATGAGATGTTGATTAGTGCTAAGATTATCAGCACATACTAATAGGCAACTAGATAAGATCCAGTGGTCCCAGCAGTGGGTATAATTGTCAGAACTATCAGGCAGTTGTTGGCAATCCAGATAAATTAAAAGTTACTTTTTTTTTAAAATTGTTTTGTAATTTGTGCTTTACTGGTTACTACCAGTAAAGCATTTATGGAAGTTTTTCCCCTGTATATTTTTTCCATACATCCTGTGCTTTTGTTTTGTTTTATAGAGTTAAAAAGCCCACAAAGAGTCAGAAGTGATTTTAAAATTAACTTGCTTTTCAATAGACCCAGTTTATTTGCTGCTGGACAACCCCATGTCTATTATCTGTATATAAATCCACTTCTTTGTTCTTTTTCCATCAGGTATAAAGTAGTATTTCCCTGATTGGAAAGATCCAGGTGCACTGTATGCTGATGAATGCACGTCCCTCTTCAGAGCTCTCTGGCAAATTGGCTTTGATAACTTACCCAGTTGAAAAAGCACAAATAACACAGCAAAATCCAAATATAACTTCCAAATAGAGAAAGGAGAAGACAAGAAAGTAAACAAGGTATTTTTTTTTTATTCACTAATTTTCTTCCCAGCTTATAACTTTCACAAAATTATCTGCAAAGATCACACTCAAATGATGTCAGTGGTTAATGGGTTGCAAAAAAGTGTATATTAAAAAGCCATTCAATTTGTGACTTACCATTCCAGTTTCACTGTGTCTGAGCATAGAAAGTACTAAAACAATGAAAGATTTAGTGCCTAAGCTTATATTCTTTAGGGGTTTAAGATTTCTACTCTGGTTAATCAAAACTATATATTAATAAAATGCTGTAGTTTGATCTAAACAGAAAACAAGCAGAATGAAGCCCTTTCTGATTGAATGCAAGTTTGTTGGTAAAAATCTATTTTCTTTTTTTTTTCTTTTCTCCCATATGTTACTATGCTGGCAACTTGGGTAATTGCTTATCAATCAAAAGTCCTTTTCAATGGAAAAGGAGAAAATGTAGGTAGGACAGAGAGGTAAAAAATTATTCTAAATGCAGTGATGTGCTGTTCTCAAAAAAAAATCCGATTTCCTATTAAATTAGGAATTCATTCATTCATTCATTCATTCTAACTTCCTCTGCTAAGGACTTTTGGGCCCTTAGGATTTGGTATCTCATATTTGGTGCAGTGGTACGGAAGGGTGAGGAAAATTGCTCCATGGGGTTTAATCCTCCCTTGATTCTGAAGGATGGAAAAGCTGAGGTATCAACACCAATATATGTTACAATAGTCACAAACCTGTTTTTAATTTGTGTTGAAGAGAACAATGCCTTATGGACAATTTCTCACTACCCTGAACTGCGAGAATCTTTTGCACTCTCCAGAATGCTTCCTTTACCAGGAAGAGCATTTGGCATATTGACTGTTTGCTGGGGGTTTTGTCTTTTTTTGCTGATCATGTCTGGGGGTTATCTACCTCTTGATTTCCTCTTTTGTCCTGCTGAAATAATACTGAGCAAACCTTTGAATTAACTGCCTTACAATAATCAGATGGCAAAATATCTAGAGAGACACAGACTCATGTGCCATTACAGGCAAAAAATCCATCAGCAGATCTGCTGTTAAACGGTGCCTGTATTTACCTTATCCCAGTATTTACAAAAGAAGATAATTACTGTTACAAGAGCTTTTATTAGTGAAGATTCACCAATCAGTTACCTAGAGAAAACAGGAAAACTTTAAAATACAAGAAATAAACAAGTGAGATGCTTTCCTCAGGCAACCCTGTCCGTTTGTCCACATATATTCCTGGGAATCCTGCTCCTCTGTCCTTTCCTTATGATCCAGGGGCTCTGTGCATAATCCCCATCCTCCTTTCAGGGAATTAGAGGCTGTCCCACTCATGTACGATGTACATTTAATGCTTCAGTATACATGTTTAACTTTCAGTGTTCAAAGTTATATTGGCAGAACAAGAAGAAATGTCATGGAGGAAAGACAAAGAAGACTAATTTTGCTAGAAGGAATTTTTGGTTCCTGTTAAGAGAATCTGGATCTGTGAACCAAAAGAGAGTTGCTTAAGAGTTGATAACCTTGTTAACCAGATGCTGAAATCCCAGTTTAGCTGATCTCACTAAGCACTTCACTCTTCTGTGATTTTGTTGGTTTTTTGGTGGTTTTTTTGTTGTTGTTGGCTGTGGGTTTTTTTGGTTTTTTTTTTTTTTTTTGTGCTTGGTTGGTTTGTTGGAGATTTTTTCTTTCTAACTTTTCACTGGAATCAATAGATTTGCTATCTGGAAAATTTGGCCTTGACTAGATTAAATCGGTGTTGAACATGTTACATGTTTTGCATTAGTGACAATGGAGTACCACTATTAAATTATGCTTTCCACTGGCAGGGTAGACTGGCAGATGCTTAGCTGATTTAAAATGGTATTATTAGTGTGGTACCATCAGAGTCAGGTAAGCTGTGGTAGGTAGATACTAGGGGAATAATACTTCCATTTTACTGACAGAGAAATTGAACGACGTGGAGTTCACGAGGCCTGGCCACAAAACCTCATCAGGCTCTTTACAGAACTGGGAGTCAGGCCCAGTCACCTAAAATCCAGTTCAAATTCATGGCCAGTGTTACACTCTCTGACAGAGAGAGTCACTAATTAGTGTTTTGAAGATCTTACTTCTCTCTTTCACACAAAAGGAGATTAATCTACTAATCCTAAATACCTAAATGAATGTATCACACTGTACAGTTACAAAATGATGCTTTCAGTGTGACTTTTTAAACATCTTTCAGCTCATTCAACATTATTTTCTGTAAACCAGAATGCTTACAAAGAAATACTGTTCAACCTCTTCTCTGCAGAACAAAAAGCAGCCCACAACTGTAAGGTCTCTTTCCATTCATCAGCCACCACATCTGTTGCTTGCTTGGACACTGACCAAAATGATTCATTCAAATGTCTAACATTTATTTTTGGTGAAATACTGGGATTATACAGTGTGGCAATATTTCAAAAATGGGTCTAGAAAACCAAGGGAAGTTGGAAACAACTTCCTCAGCTGAAAACAAACACGGCGTTATATCATTCTGCAGCTTTATTAGAAGGAAGGCGGTGGCCAAGTGAAGCAGCTGGAATCACACTGAAGTGACTCTGAACTCTGCAGATCATTTCATTCTTCCTTCTGCTGCAGAGCTCAGATCCCTGATTTACAGTGTCTTTCATTTCAAAGAACTAAGGTAGGTCAAACTCTCTTATATTTAAGATCTTTCTCTTTCTTCCCTTCTAAATAGTGAGACTCTACCGTTGCAACAGCACTTGCAGGCAGATGTTGTAAGGTGGTATAGCATATACTGGCTAAAAGAGCTTCTTGGAAGAAAGAATGTGATATTCATTTACTTCAAAGATTACTTTAAACCACCCCAGCATCGAGAAAAGGTATGAAAATGTGCATGAATTTTTAATTGCTTTTGAATATATTAATACACACTTCGAGGAGTTTTACCCTGTCAGTGAATGTAAGTGACCCTAACTTAAATCTCTCTCTCCCCTTCGTGTCCTCTAGTGTGTTAGATTTAATTTTTTTATTTGCTCAGGGATAATGTGTCTTCTATAGCTCTAGCAATTTCCAGTATAATTAGTTAAAAATACATCAGTTCTGATCTGAAAAGTTTCTAGAACAGAAACTGGAAATAATTTCAACTTAAATAGCAGATTAACAGAATACTTCTGAAGAATTGCAGTTCCTCACAATCAAATAAGGTTCCTGTGATCTCAGCTGGAAAGTGTGTGTGTTTTCCCTAACCATTGTGGAATCAGGTAGGATATGGATCTAGCTTTCAGTATTGGAAGTGACAATAAGATTTGAAGCCTTGTATGCTACCACACAATGAGACGGGAATAGGTTCCATCTGCTATTCACACTTAGTGATAACAGTGTCATTGTCACCTGTCGCCTTTCTAGATGTGAAGTTTTTGATCTGTTATTCGATATAAATTTTGCATTAATCATTCTGCTATTCCAAGCACTAAGCAGCAGCTAGGTTTCCAAGGGATTGTAATCTATTGAATGGTCTTATTATTTGCTTATTTATTTATTTAGTCTTATGGAATGTGCTAGCAGTTCAGCTGTCTCTCTTACTGTGGTGGCTGGTTGTCTGGCTAATTTGCACTCATTATTTCTGATAATGGTTTAATTTGTGTTCATTCAGTCTGAAGCTAGCAGTTTCACCACAGTGCTGGGCTCTGTTGTGGCTGGCTTTGCACAAGAGAGCTGATTGTGAGGAGCAGGTCCTTGTAGCCTCTTAGCAGAAGAAAGAGATTGCTATGACTGTGGTAGAGATGCCATTATGTGGAGATGAACTCTCACAATGGCTTTTACTTTTACAGTGTGCTTGGGGCTCCTGAGACAAAAATAAAAAGTTATGTGTCCTCAAAGGTAGCATATAGTACTTCCAGGGAGCTCAGCTACTTCTGTACTCTTTGTATCTTCAGTATGTTCCAGGGGCTGAGGGCCTTCAAGCAGGAACAAAAATCCACATATTAGCCCATGGTCGCTTTCTGCTGGCTTGTTGCTCCTACTTCTCTTCCCCTACCCAGACTTTCTTGTCCCTTTTTGATACTTCCTGAAGGATGTATTTCAAGAATCAAAAGGCACAAGTATGAAGAACCAGCATCTTTTCCCTCTATCCACGGAAGATATTTGACTCTTTGTTCATTTGGCAAGTTATTCTGTTCCCAACTTTTCCTTCAAATTTACTGTTTGGCTTTGGGCAAGATATGCCTCTTCCTTTCCCTACTCTTGTATGTGTTTATTACGTTTAATTATAAACAAAGCAGGAATTGTCTTTCATTATGTACTATAGTGCCTAGATCCTGTGAGGCTTTGATCTCATGGACTAGGGCCTTTGGGTACTTTCCCAACATAAAGTACTTGCTTCTTTCAGCAAGTATGAGCCTGGCACACAAGTTTTATTCCCTTCTGAGGTCTTCTAGAGGAGAGAGAGAAAGTGATGTGTAGTAAGTCATGTACAGTCAATGTATTGCCACTCTACACTCCCATCTCTTTTTTCTAGTGAAAGAAAATTCCTTTTAATGAGCTTCACCCCCACATCATTATAATGAGGTATTTTGGAGATGTTAAGAACCGTTGCCCATTTAAGAAACCTGAATAATGTTGTACCGTATCTGGCAGAGTCAAGTGAGAAGTGATTTGTAAGGGTAATATGGGAACCCTGTAAAACCAGTATTTCCAAGCTCCTAATTTAACACCTTAATCATAGGTGCTGTATATTCCTATTAGTGCTGGGGAGTGTTCCCAATACCGTGTTAGGCAAATAGATAAATATCCAGTCCTCCTGAAACTCTGTTTAAAAACAAAAATTTTTCAGTTTTGCAGGAATAAAGCCAGTACTTATTATAGACTTGATCTTATAGTAAAAAAAATAGTTGGCTTCGTATGAGTAGGAAAACTAGAATAACACTGTGTACAGGAGTAGACACCCTTAATCTCCTGTACACAGTGATCCTAGTATATTAACTCTGAGGATGTAATAAAGTGTGTTATCCAAAACATTCCAGCTGATAAGATATGTACTAGCTGTATTTTGGAATTGGATATTCTGATATACCCATGCAAGGGTATGTGTCTAGAGTAATGTAAGCATAGCAATATTATGTTTATGCTAGAAGAAGCTGCTGAGTTACATAAATGAGGGGTAGAAAAAACCTAGGAAAACAGAGATCAATTTAGAGGGCAGTACGAAACCAAGCATATTGTAATAAGGGACTAGGAAATTAATCTGTGAAATTGAATAGGATATAATAAGGCATATTAGAGGAATGAGTTGTGGATCTATGGGGTTATTTCTTAACTCTTCTTTTTAAAAGGACTGTAAATATAGCAGATTGTAACTTATTTTTTATCTGTTATTTAATATGATATTTTGTATCTTGCTGGAGAGAGTGTTACTTTGGATTTTTTCTACAATGACCTGTTGTTACCCTGCAATGCCTTTTGAATGGCTGTGTCTAACATATGTTTAATTGGCCTTAATTAGTCTGTGGAGTCAACTGCAGAAAAAAAATATCTGCATTTACTCTGCATCCTCTACTCTCACTTTACTATTTTTTGGTTGGAGAGAGTTGTGGTTAAGGCATGTGTTTTTTGAAACAGTACAACTATTTAAAAAACATGCTTGGAGCTGCATGATCATGTAATGATCACATGGATGCTAGTCAAAATATTCTTTCATCACAAATACATTAAACAGTTGCAAAGTAAAAATTCCAAGTAATTTTTGCATGAAAACTTTAAAAAGCCATAATTAATTAGAAATGCAAACATTCATTATCCCATCAGTCCAGTCACTGTGAAGCTGAAGCACTTAAATTTTTTTAATCAGATATCTCTGTTGCTCTAGGTATGTAGTTATTATGGTGGCTTATAGCCAAAGAAAATCCTGCTGGCATTTGAGGAGGAATAGAAAACACGTGAAGCTTCCATGGAACAACACCTGATCAGTTGTTACCTCCCAGCCAGCAGGATTCACGGTGTGCCTGCTGGGCTCTGCCGCCTGCAAGCCGTGCCTGGCAGCTCTGAGGTGTGTCCTGGGACTGCTGAGACACAGCAGTGGGGATGGCAAGCAAGGGGTGCAAATCCAGGCTGCCTTTCTGTGCAGGAAAAACAGACCAGGAGCAGTAAGGGCTGCCCAGGTAAGTGCTGCCTTCCTCCACCACAATGAGCATGATGGCACAGAAGGGAAAGGTCTCCCAGAGGTGAAGCTGTGGTTTCTTCACTTCACCATGAGAGAAGGGACAGTGCTAAGTTTGAGAAGGGAGGATAGGACTGTGGTTGAGCCACTAGGGACTCTTGATTTAGCACTTGGTTTGATCAGAGACTTCCTGTGGGTCATTGTCAGCATTCTACAGTAAACCAGACTGATGATACTTCTCACTTGAACCTCACTTCAATAAGGGTTATGAATACTGAAGCATTATGACTGGTTATGTAAATACTTTGGTAGTGCTGACACATACAATACATCAGGCAATTTTTAAATCTCAAGTGTCACTTTTTAGTTAAATGTCTATATTTTTTTGTAAGAATATTAGATTTTTTTTCTCTAAAAATGGTGCTACTTTTAAGTGTTTCACAGATATTGCCAGTCGTTTTCCTGACTCTGATGTACAAATTTTGTGGTTACGTGATTTGCTGCAGCTAATTTTTTATTAATATTTCCAAAGAAATATTAAAATCTATATTCTTACTTTCAGCTGTATTAACAGAAGGGAATAAAAACAGAAACAAGTGCTAACTATGGAGTTATCAAGTGCCTTCACCTTCACCAGTGCATACCCTGGGGACATCTGGGTTTCTTTGTAATTTTTGGGAATGGTAGACTTGGTGCTTGGGATCAGCTTGAAAATAAATCGGTTTTGATGATATGCAGTTGCTGGTTGCAGACATCTATCAGGTCTCTGATTGAAGAAATGGTACACTGCTCAACTGCAGCCATTTTCTAGAAGATATTTTATATTCAGGCCAGAACTACTGTGATACTTTTCCTACTACAGCAGCCTTATTTAGATATAAAGTTGGATTTTCCATTTTTTTGTTTAACATTTCTGTGTTGGCAAAACTGCTGGTCTGAAATTGTAGATTTACCGGTATTACCTGAGTCTGTGCTATATGAGTTTGTTAATCCTGTAGCACTCACTTTGTGTGAAGTGTTTTCAGGCTATTATCTGGTCAAAGGACTTCAGTACCACAGATGAGGTAGTGTGTTATGACTAACAGGGTCATGCTTGGCCTTGCTTGAAGAAAGTTAGTTTTGGCCTAAGTTCTAGGGCATGTCTAGTTAGTGCATTGCAAATACATTTCTAACACTGCATTGCTGAGAGGCATAATGGCAAAAGATTGTTATTTGCATTCCTTTCTAATCTGCTAGAACAAATACATCTACATTGTGGCTCAAAAACATTTCCAGTCACATGTTATATCTGTTGTAACCCGTTGAAGTTATTGAATTCAGGGTGACATATGAAGTAATTAGGTTACCATATATCTAACCGCCGTTAAAAGGATAGTCAAAAGACAATTGTTGGTGTATGTGTGTGTGAAAGAGAAAACATAGACACAAGCCTTGAATCTGCTTTTGTGTATACCAGGTTAAAATGCTCCTTACCTAGTAGCTTTGTCTGCAGGGCCAACTTTAGGCTGAATCTGTAGCATAGCTATGATTTATTTTTGTAGTATGAGTGTATCAGACACCTCCTGCTATAGGAATGTTTCTGCATAAGGGCAAGTGGTTATCCTGGCCTTGTCCTTTTGAGGGAGAAATGTCTATGACAGTCTGTAAATCCATCAGTATTCATTGTGTTCTGATGTACAAACTTTGTGGTTCTGTGATTTGCAGTGGCTACAGCAACTCCTTACATTCCAAAGAAATATTAAAAACTATGTTCTTACTTTTTCTTTTCAATTTTTTTTTCAAATATGTCCTATGTCTTTGTAAATTGCTTGCCAGAAATACATCTGTACCTTTAATGAATTTGCTCAGTCTTCTGAGTTTTGAGCTTTTCAGATAAACTACCAGGTGTATTTCATGTTTATGTTTCTGAAGATTGATAAATTAAAAATTTGTCACCTCAGAAGTTCCAAGAAAAAATTATGAGGGCTTTCAACTGAATTCAATACCTGGATAAACTTGCTGCCACAATATGACAAGCAGGCTCTAAGTGACCTTTTGTGAAACTAGTTGTTCTCCAGCTTCTGACTCTTGCAAATGACAGAAGTTGAAGTGATGCAATCAAATAAGCTTTCCTTTAGCCACTGATAATACACATGGAATGTGATGTGCTCACAGTTGTTCATAAAGACATTGATAGGAGTGTTTGTGTAATATCTTCCCTCTATGAGCTGAACTGTTGAGACAGCCAACCCTCCAAACCATAATTTTCAGGACCCGTTACTGTGACCTCTGAAACCAATTTAGCTGGCCAAAGGCTCTAACACTGTTTGTCACACTGAAAAAATAGATTTGGGGACTCCCACTCAAATATTTGTGTTAACTTTTAACTAACATAGACAATGAATAAACTCTTCCCTTTGACCCTTCTGTAAAATTCAAAAGTAATGAGGCCCAAATGTGAGAGAGAGGTTGTGTGGGCTGAGCCCCAGTTTGTGGTCAAGACTGCCAGTGTAATTCAGTTAGGTCCTAACTTATGTGGTGCCCAGGGAACTTTGAACCCCCAGGAGGACTTTGCTTAAAGTGAAGTGGATGAAAATGGCAACTTTTTTGTTTATTTTCTTCTATTTTAGACTGAAAGCCCAATGTAATTTAATTCCAAAGCCGTTGCATTGACCTCAGGGCTGAGGTGTGGAGAGGTCAAACGACTTCCCCTGGCCAAACAGGATGCGTGTGGCATAGCCATGAATAGGTTCCAAAGTGCTGTTCCATGTCATAACTCTAAGGCCATTCTTAGTGTGACAAGAGCTGTTCTATTTTAGGCAGATCCTATCATTTGTCCAAGTTGTGATTATGGCTTAGCTGTAATAGTGGCAGAGGACACGAACTCTAGGTACTTTTAGTAGAAGGCTGGGTATATGTCTATGAGATCCAAGTCTGTAATTCCCTGCTGAAGTACAGAGAAAGACTGTTCATGCAACGCCCAGCAGTTCTGTGGCTTTGTATTTTAGAAATATTTCCTGATTATCTGTATTTCTTGGTAATTCTGCTTTCTTCCCCAAGATCTGAAAGTGCTGAGAGCCGTCCTGTTATATTCCTATAATGTCATTTAGAAATTAACTTCTGTTTTACAGAAGAGGGCAGGAAATGAAACCTTCTGGTCAACTATTTTCATAATTAAGCAACTGAATCAAGGAGGCTCAGTTTTCAGAGCTGCTTGTAGTTCAGCAAACAGGAATGGGCTTGTCAAACAACTGCTGAGCATACACTTTACACAGGGTGTTTACTATTTAAAATAAAAATTTTTAAAAAGGACAGGATGAAATCTAAACTTGGTTATATTAATCCATATGCAACAGAACACTGTTCTGTAACCCATGGCTGCTCCCAAGGCTTATTGGCAGGCCTCTAACCACACTTTCCTGTTTATTGAAAAATGTTTTCCATGCACTGGCTCCCCAGACCGGCAAACACTGAGCCACTGAACTGCACAAACCTCCCTTACCCTTTCTAACAGGGTCCTTAAAACCAAACAGAAATGGCTGTCTGAAAGTATTGTTTTCTCTACTGAGCCTCAGTATGCAAACACATTCATGAGAATTTTTCCAGCTTGGAAAGCAAGCCATTTGTCAAAGATCATACAGGAAATTAGTGACAGAATAAAGAACACAATTAGATTTCTTCACAAGACCTAGACTTGAAATGCAAGACAGTTTTGACTCTGGAAATTTATTAATTTAAGAGTCATGTATTAAGAGATAGTGTGTTTCAGGACCACGGAGAAACATCCCAGCTGAATTATGGCTAATGAAAAAAATCTGTGTCTTCATTGATGTAGTCCAGTATAACTCCACTGACAATCACCTACTGCTTATCTTTTTCAGGACAGGGCTTAACACCACGAGTCCTGCTATAGAGGTGCTTCATATATGTCAATGTCAGAAGTAGAAGTTTCTGGGCTTTGCAAATGTAATTGGCAGTCCTTGCTGAGCCTAGCCATAGAGTCTAATTTCAGCATCTGTGCACTGGGAGCAGTGGTAAACAGTGTTCCTTCTGATTTTTTACTCCCACTGCTAAAGAAGACAAGCTGCATTGAAGACTAGAGTTAGAGAGGAAGAAAAATATAAGCCTGGAAAAATAATTGCATTCTAAAGGTGTGCTCTTTCACTGGAATTTTAAACTACAGGAGGCTTGGGAAATATCTGGCATTTATTTGGATATGTGTTTTTTCTTCTGTGATACATCATCTTAAAAATGCTAAATATAAACTTAACGTTGGGCAGTAGGCAAATGTTTATCATTGTCATTATAGTTGGAAATTTTTTTGTTTAGTTGCATAAATTTGATTTGAAGGTACAGTTTTTTGTATAGGCAAACCCACTTAAAAATCCAGTTGTTAACCTGACTGTCCTCTGAAACTGTCCAAATATAATATTCCAGATGTTAATGCTACTGCTCCATGTTTATACTCTTCTCTCAGCAGCTGTTAAGCTGTTTGAAAAAATTACTCAGATGGGTGGTGGTGGTATTTAATGCAGAATCCACCCCCAAGGGGCATGTAATTACATAAATGCAGCCCAGTAAGTATCATTTATCAGGACAGCAAACCAAATAACATTCTTTCAGCCTGATGTAAATCACAAATGCTATCATTGCCTCTTGACAGAACAGGCTGTGCTGACTTTTACTACATATTTTTTTAATCAAGAGATATAAAATTACACAACCTTTTTTTCCCTTCCCTGTCTATCCATCTACAAATGAGAAGTCTAATCCTGCTAATGCATGTGCACATGCGTAGCTTTGCTGATGTGCGTAATCCTTTCAAACTGGGTGAACTACTTTTTGGAGGAAAGGTAAGTTTCCTTGAATATGAGTTTGCTGATGTGGTTGTGCAAGCAGCATGCTCTGGAGACCGATCTCATGCTGTCCTTAGCATGCTGTAATTAATGGCATTACAGGAATGCAGGGCTGAGTTCCAAAAGCACGGGCTGAATTTTGGTTTAGGCGTGGAGACAGCGCTCAGAAATTTAGCGGTAAGATAAATCATAGTGCAGCTAATAGACTGCTCTCAGGCACAGGTCTTCAGTGCAGCTGAGTCCAGCCAAACTGTTCACCTTTAAATGATGCCAGTTTCGCAGAATAATTGTTTTGATCATTGCAGAAACTTTTGTCTGACTGTGGCCACCTGTGATGTGCTGCAGCTTTGTCTATACTGCAAACTAAACACTGAAATAATTCTGTGACATAACTTTGGACTGCTTCTCTTTCTGTTGTTCAAACTCGATTTCCTGTCTGTTTTCCCATTTATTTCTTTTTTTCCTCTCCGTTTTGGGTTATATTCCACTTTCCCCTCCCCCCCACCTTTCCTCCCACCCACAGAAAGAATTTCCATGTGAAAAAATCATGCTGTACTTGCAAGTTCCAGAAGCTTTTGCAAGAGAAAAAAACTGAGAAAATTCTGTAATTCTGTCTTAAAAAAAAAAAAGGACACACAAATATTCTTATTTATATCTCTTACCATGTGTTTCTTGTTCATGGGAAGCTTTACATTCTTTCATCTATGACCTGTTTCTCAGCTCTCTAGTGGAAGAACACCATAGTGTGTATTTTCCCTGGAATAGGTTCTGTATTTCCTTCTCTACATTCTTTGCTGTATTAATTAAATCCGAGATGTTAAATGGGCCTGAAAAACATCATTTCTTGATACAAAGACATACATGAAAGAGATTAATAAACCCATGAACTTTTAGTTGCTGGAGAAATCACTATCTGTCATTTTGTTAGCTATAATTTGAGGCGTGGTGGTGGATGAAATTTTATAAAAGATGTCTTCCTGGCATTTTAAGTGATTTTTTTTTTTTCCTACATAGAAGTCTAATGCTCCTCTGATTTTAGACAGATATAATCCATAAAACTTGCTTCACATAGGAACAGAGCAGTAAAGTATGAAACCTGACCAGAAAAGATTATCACAGTCATACTTCAATAAAACTTTGTGTCTGGTCACCTAGAAATATATCAGTGATACTGTGCTCAGTGATGTCTGTGAAGAAATTAATGTGAGGAAAAACAGTTACTGAAGATTTCAAGTTCTGTTTTGACTTGAACATTTCTTGAAATGCCTGTGACCAAATTTCTTCAGGAGTTTTGTGCTAGCAACTGACAGATAAAAGGTGACAGATTTGCCAAACTAAGGAAATGTTTTTGGTTTATGACCAAAAACTTGAAACAATTGCAGTTTACTATTTACAGTGCAGTAAAACATTTCTCCTTTGACCATTTCATTTCTTTTCTTCCCCAGGAAGCCACTCTGCAACATGACATATGAAGATTATGAGAACTACTCTTATTTCTACTATCCGTCTGAGGAAGATGAGTCACCCCAGTCCTCCCTCAGCATTGCCCATATTATTTCCCTTTTCTTTTACAGTGTGGCATTTCTGCTGGGAGTGCCAGGTAATGCCATTGTCATCTGGTTTATGGGCTTTAAGTGGGATAAATCTGTTTCCACACTCTGGTTCCTGAATCTGGCCATTGCAGATTTCATTTTTGTTCTCTTCCTGCCCCTCTATATTACATATGTGGCAATGGGCTTCCATTGGCCTTTTGGGAAGTGGCTCTGCAAAATGAACTCCTTCATTGCACTACTTAATATGTTTGCCAGTGTTTTCTTCCTGACATTCATCAGCCTCGACCGCTACATCCGCCTTGTCCACCCAGTCTTTTCCTACAAATACAGGACTGTAAAGAACACCCTTCTTCTGAGCGGGGTCATTTGGATGTCAGCTGCAATTATTGGTGGCCCTGCCTTATACTTTAGAGACACAGCTACAGGCCTCAACAATGTCACTGTTTGCTTCAACAACTTCCATGTATATGACAGAGAACTTATTTTGCTGACACATCACATTCTCATTTGGGTGAGGCTTGCATTTGGTTACCTCTTTCCTTTAGTGACCATGGTTATTTGCTACTCACTGCTGATTGTCAAAGTGAAGAGGAGAACTGTATTGACTTCTAGCAGGCTTTTCTGGACCATCACTGCTGTAATTGTAGCTTTTTTTGTCTGCTGGACACCATATCATATATTCAGCATTGTGGAGCTGAATGCTCACCATGATGAAAATTTGCACGACTTACTACAGGATGGCATTCCCCTCTCCACTGGCCTTGGTTTCATCAACAGTTGCCTCAACCCAATCCTCTATGTTCTGATTAGCAAAAAGTTCCAATCCCAGGTGAAGAGCACGGTGTCTGAGGTGCTGAAGCTGGCCCTGTGGGAGGTGAGCCGCTCGGGGACGGTCAGCGAGCAGCTGTGGAGCTCGGACAGCGCACCTGTGCACTACTCTGAAACCGCCCAGTGACTCTCGTGGCACCAGCTCTCCCCAAAGGAGCTGACAGGAGATTTGCAGGTCTTCTTGACTTCACATCTGCCACTCAGATGTGCATCTTTGCATATACAGTTTTCTGTAAACAGCTGGCTTAATTGCACTTGCTGCTTTAATTGAAAGGTTTTTCAGGGACACATGATTTGGATGTGTGCCCTTGCAATGCACATACAGCCTGAACTGAAAGTTATCAGCATAGGTGGAATGACTCTAACTGGGCTTTTGATAAGGAATGTTGTTGTAATCCTGTTGATTTGCTGTAGTTCTATACCTCATTGATATCAAAAGGACACATAATAAAAATATTCCTCCTTGCCATTGCTGATACCACTCTTAATTGAGGCATTCTCATTCAAGAGGCTGTGGCCATACATCACTGCATCATGAGTCTCCTGATTGCCTACTACTGCCCCAAGGAGGAATCCCCTGGCTACATCACACCTAAATGAAGCTATTAGTGGCACCACTCTGCAGCTGGAGAAGAATCGCAAGATGGAGAACACTCAATTGCTGACTTCTATTGTCAAAAAAGAAAAATACGGAAATATAACCTGTCTTCTCTGCCTGCTCTTTATCTTACACTCAAAACTAAGACAGGAGACCTTGTTTTTTGGGGTTACTTACTGTATTTTTAGCACCAGCCAGATGCAAAATTCTGAGCGATGTTTCATAAAAGTATTATGCTCATTCAAAGTGTGCAAAGAGTTAGTGAAAATATTTCTTACAACTTCTGTGCCACACTTATTTTTCTGTTTAAAATGTGAGTCCTACAGAGATTTACAACTAATGATTGCTCTTTATTACTCTTTCAAGCAAAGGTAAAGAAATAATATAACATTTTGTTTGCCTTAATGACAAGCTTAAAAAAATGGGTGGAGTGAATTCATCAGAATTCTGTTACAAGTCTGTAGCCAAATTTGGACGTCTTTTCTAAGTAAAAGGCAAGACAGTTCATCCAGGAAATGGAGTCCACTCCCATAAGAAAGATGAAGTAGTCCTAGTTATGCTGTATTCTGTTCCAACTTGTTGCTTGCTGCAGAATCACACATACATCAATGCAAATATATATATGCTATGTGGAGTGAACCAATTTCTGATGTAGTACTACTTAATTAAAAAGTTGAATGTGGGACAAAACTCTACTGAAAGTAAAAGCATGGAGCCTTGGGAAAATTTGAACTGTTATTTCCTAGTTATTGGCCTAGTAATTGCCTTTCAGATAACTTACCTAGTTTGTATGGCCTGCCAACACATTAGTAACATTAATGCTATAATTAAGTCCTTATGTGTAAATAGATTTGCTTTCCTATAAAATATGTATGAGCACATCCAATATTGGTAGCTGCACAAATAGAAACAGCCTGACTGTGGTCTGTAACTATTTCTTTGGGCTCTGGTTTCAGAGTCTAAGAGTCAGGCAGGATCAGTGGAATTTTGGAGTATTTCCCTTTGGGTTGAAAAGCTGGTAAGCAGCACTCTTCCTCTGAGTCACTTGCTGCCTGGTACATAGTTGCTCATCGTAATATTTTGGCACCATGCTGCTGTATGTGCCTGAATCAAACATTTTGCAGTTTTTCTTCCCATGTTCCCTGACATCTTTCTAAGAATCTCTTGGCTGTAGTCCAAGTGAAGTAATAAAATTTTCTTGTTTCCAAAAAGCATGTTCATTTGCTTTTCTTAGCAGCAATGTGTGGTGAATGGCTTTTCTTGTACCAGCTCCTTCCCAAAGATTTTGGAAGGTGAAACCAAGCCCTGGCCTTTCTACTATGGGATTTAAGGTTATGTCAGCTTTCTTCAGCTGTGTGCACACACATGTTCCTATATACAGCACAGAGACTGATTTTCAAATGGGGGAGCATATATGGATAAAGGATCAGAAAGTGAAGCAGACAGGAGGAAGACAGGATAGAACTGAATAAGGCCAAAATCAGCCTTGATCTATGGCATTAAGTGGATTTACAATTGTGCAATGTAACAGCTACAATTCACACCAAGATCAGTTACAGAATTATCTAAATCATTTCTTCAAGAGTAATGCAAGATAGCTAAACAAAACAGATAATGCTCTAAGTTTCTGTTTCCAAAGAGTCTCCAAAACAATACCAACAATTCTATGCTGCTTGGACTGAGGAACACTCATTCGACTCACCACCATGGAAAAAAAGGGACAGAAAAAGGAAAGGAATCTGTGTTGTCATGCAAAGAGATACTATAGAAATAGCTATTCACACATTTCATAATGGACAGGTTCTAGTTACTTTTATCTTCTTCCAGGACAGTTTGTGTTTCTGAAGGGTTTTATGTAGATTAGTTTTTGTTAAAACTGTTTTCCCAGCATTCCTGTATAGAGCATACTGAAGTTATGGAATTTTCTACTGATCCCTCTGTTACGAGGGGCACGTGGGACACTTGCCCCTTTTATTCCAGGGTGCTGATTTTTCACAGGCACAATGGCACAGTAATATACCAGCACATACCCAAACACCACCTAAAACAACTTAACACAAATATATGTGGATTGAGCAGAATACTCTTGCCCACATACCCTATTTTTTCACTGGGAACACTGTGCTCTCTAGGATTTTTTTGTTTCTTTTGTTTCTGTGCAACTTTCTTTTGAATATCAGGGAAAAAAAAAAAAAGCCCTGCCAAAACCCAACACGAGACACAAGAAAATTCAAGAACCAAAGAGTTTGTGTGTGCATGCTTAGTATAAACATAACACACACAAATCCAGTCTGGAAGGTCACATGGATGACTCAGTGCTGCATTTTAACAAAGTTACCATCTATAAATCAATCCATTTAATCCACTTAGGGCTTTAATTTGAAAGCCAAGAAAAGAGTATCAAGGTAAGCAGCATATTGAATGGGAGATCAGAAAAAGTGGCGGTCAAGAAAATCAAATCTGTATTTTTAAGGCAGAATTTTTAATAATTTTTTTGTCTGATATGGTGCCTGCCAATTTCTTTTAACAGCACCATGACAGAATTGGTAAAACTAAGCTACATGATTTAGCAGAAGCAACAGCTAGAGAATTGCCACAGAAAGGGTATTGTTTAGGAATTAGGTTTATGGAAGGTGGCAAGTGAGCCTGTAACAATACTCACTTTCAGATCTTTAACCATGCTTTAAGCCTCTAGCAGGCAGATTTTTTTTCTGAGACAAATTATAAACAAAGCTCTTACATAATCTGAAGTTGGCAGACATCTAAACAAGGAGAAAGAGGACCTGCTGTGCCAGATAAGCACACAGATGGTCTGTGAAAAAAACAACAAAAAGAGTTACTTAAGATGCAGCTGTCAGACTCTGTGACACTGGGCATCTTCATCTCAGAGTGACCGATGTGGCACATAAAAGGATTCCATTTCATGGTCACAATAAATCCTGTCAATCCAACGCAAGGCACAGAATTACGAATTTGTTTAGAAGCTTCACAACTTTGACAGCCTCTACATTTGTATCAACCTATAGACAGTTTTTGGGATTTATTCCTGCTGGTTCTTCAATCACTAAAAGAAATGTCAAAATTAATCTAGAAGCCAATCTGGAGCCGAGTAAACAGCCCAGACTGCTGTTACTTTCACTACTTTTATATCCCGTATTGTGTTTGCATTTACGCGGGGGTCAGACAGACCCCGCAGCGGCAGCCCCCGGCTCCTGCCCCGCTCCTGGGGCACCGCTGGGCTCGCAGCGCCCCCCGGCGGCACCGCCCGCGCCCCAACATTTCCTGCTTAATTAAAACATGACACTCGACGTAATTTCATTGCAAATGTCTCCAAGCCTCAAGAGAAAAAAAAAAAAAATGTTCCAAGTCATAGAACAGGTGAGACAGTATCAGGGTAGTCTCAGGCCTTATCTCCACAGCACTGCAAGTCACTTCGAACTTAGTTTCGTCTCCATCAACGAAGGCCATGCTGTATTTGGTTAATCACCACCCTTACTAAACAAAAGGAATTCATACTGTTTACCCACTAAAACATGCACTTTGACTGAGCCCTGCTCCTTTCCCTTAGAACCATGCCTCCCTCAAGAGGAATCCCAGACACTTCCAAGGAAGCAATTTCCTCCACAGATGGAGGAAAGCATTTCAGTATTTTAAAGCCGTGGTAATGTTAACTCTGAAGTGATGCTCTGCACATACTCCTGGGTACTAAATTCGGTTTCAGCTTCTGCTTTACCCATTAAGAAAACCTTATATTTGTGAGCTAAGATTCTGAAACAAGCAGACACTGCACATTTTTTGCAACAACATTTATTCTAGGTATATCAGGACTTAAATCTTATTGAAAGCAGCTACATCCATTGATTGTACATAGTCTTCAAAAGCTGTTATTCTCTCTTCCAGCATATCTGTTCCAACTTTATCATCTTCAACAACACACTGGATCTGAAGCTTTTTGATACCATAGCCAACAGGTACTAGCTTGGCTGCAAAACAAAAAGAAAGCATTTAGTACTCCTTTATTGGTGGAATCTCTGAAAAAACACAGACCTAAGAGTGAGCTGACCAAAGCAATTTTCAGGATATATGAAACAGCCTTTGGTCCACATTATGGACCATCTAATTAAGAACCCAGCATTCATGACAACTGATTGAAAAAGTTTCCTTCCGTGGACCTCCACCCCTTCCCCAAACCAGTGATGCGGGTGCATAAAGGTGTTTGCTGCATCAGGAATTGTACAGGGAGATGCAGGAGAGCAGAGCTTAAGTCCTGTAGCTTTTAAAATCTGTATTTGAATCTTAACGAGGCCACTGAACTAATACACCTTTTCAGACCATGCAAAGACACTGAAGTACTGCAGTATTGCAGTTCCCCTGTTACAGCTACCTACATTTCATAGATCAGCAGTGTCCACAAGTCCCACTACTCAGTCCTATCCCACAAACCTGCACTCTCCTCCCCCACCCTGCTCTGAAATTTCCCCATACTTACAAGATCCCCAGACCAAGCCATCTGCTTGAATGCTTCGAACACACTCCTCTAGTTTGGCCATGTCTGTCTCATCATCCCAAGGTTTCACATCAAGCAAGATTGATGACTTTGCAACAACAGCTGGTTCTAGGGGAAGAAAATCACCATGAAAAGATAGGTATCCTCCAAAAACTCATGAATACACTTCCAAACTGGTTTTACGAGAGCAACTTATCCAATTTCACGAGCAAGAACCTGCTCACATTGCTGTGACAGGCCTCTGGTACCAAGGTACGTTTCTGAAGTACTGCAGCTGTGTACATCCCATCTTACAATATGCAGATACGTTATGTATACACAGATTTGAGCAGATGACAGTGTTTGTTACATAGGAAGTCCTTCTCAGAACATCTGAAAAGGAGCCTAATGCTGTGTAACAGTTTATTTTCCACAGATGGAATACTGCAACTGCTACAGTTCTGAACAGTTCCAGACCAGTAGCTGTGGAGTAACTTGTGTACTGCAGCACTTTCACTAAAATTTTGAAGAAAATCCTTGTAGAAAGCCCAGTCTCTGGAAAGAACAAGCAGGAGTGTATGAACCAGAACAAAAAGCATGTTAACATTCCTATTTGCATTGGGGAGGCTGAGCTCACTGGCAATTCAAGTGAACCTAATCAGTCCTGTCTCATTCCAGTCAAGCTGATCTATTATTACAGTTAATTAGTCTTTCTAGCCATCCTGTTCAAATGCATGAAAATTAATTCAAGCGTAGAAGATTGGAAAGTTCTCAGCACACATACTTTTGGACTTCTTTGATTCATACTGGGCCAGACGCTCTTCCCTCAGTTTCTTTGCTTCTTCACTTTCCTGAAAGACAAATTTGCAGTTACAGAAAAAAGCACCAAAACTCCACATCTCCAAAGCACTACACCAAACTGACTGGCATTTACTCAGATAAAAACAAATCATCACACTTGTCAGCCGAAAGATGGTGATTTTTTGTTTTACTCATCATATAACCAGCCAAAGTTAGACAGTTCATCCCATTCCAGCACCTTATTTTCTAACTTTTGAGTTTTTACCTTCCAAGCTTTCCTATTCTGCAAATATAGCTACATTTGAGTATTGCAAGTAGGATCTATTATCAAGGTTGGAAACATAAGTAACTTCAACTAGGTCAAGGGAAAATCTGCATACCTGATTTAATTTCTAAAAAGTAACAGGAATAATACAAAAACATCACAAGTACCTCCTCATCATCAGATCCAAAAAGGTCAATGTCATCATCATCTTTGCTATCTGTGGCTGCACCTGTTGTGTCCTCAACATCAGCAGGACCGTATTTTCCCAAAGCCTTCTTTACTCCTGGCAAGCTGAAAGAAAAATGCAGGTATCAGGACCCTCCTCAAACATCAGTACAATCACTGCCAGCTTATCAACGCCCCTACAAATCTATTTATAATGAAAAACTTGTGCTAAAAAGAGTAAAAATCCAGTTTTGCTACTTGAAATCAGAACCTCGTGAAAGCCAGCCCCAACACTCCTGACATGCCAGCTGAGTAATCTGTGAATATGGGATTTGCTGTAGCTCAGAGCTGGTATGATCCTGCCCAACTAAGTACACGGATAAGAAAAGCTTTCTTATTGGAATCCTCTATCTGTACTACATTCTGTCTAGGAGGAATTACCAACTTCATGTACGTGCTTCCCTAGAACTACTTTCACTTGTTTAAAACTTAGTAAGTCACTGAAAACACATTACTGCATGGTAACTGCTATTTTCCTATGTTTTAGTGCCCTAAACCCTTCCTCTCAACAGGACAAAAAAGTCTAACTTCCTTAATTTACTTTCTCTTGCTGCTCATATGGCCCTGTTATCTTAGAATAAGTTCACAGTTGTATTGCTCGTGTGAACAGCTGTTACTAAAACCATAAAATTCGCTTTTGATTTCAGGAACCCTAAGCAGTTTCCAGATACTTTGTGAAACCACTTCAGAATCTCAGTCTCCCTTAGCATTACCAAAGCTTCAGAAACTGACTAGAGACTGAGCCACCCATTTTTGGTAGTTTCCTCTGAAGAGGACTGAGGCCCAGAAGAAGCAGCGTTGCAACACTGACCCTACCTATGCTGTACCTTTTCAGAGAGGCCTGCAGTCTCCACTGATCTCAATACAGCACCTTTCATGAACACGTAAAACCACTAAAAGAGAAATGAGATATTACTTCCTTTCATATGTACTTTTCTTTCCATGTCCTTCAGTACTGCAAATCATTAATTTTGTCCTCCGTACTGACAGAAGACGTCTGCCCTGTTTCCGGCACAAAATGCCACGTGGTGCCACTGGAAACCAGTTTTGCTCAAACTGGAAGAAACAAACGCAACAATGTGTAGGCGAGTTCGGGGAGATATTACAGCTTCGGAGTTTTACTATACCTTGCCTTTTGCTTTTCATACGACTTAATATGGTTGTACCACCGGAGAGCATGGCACAAGTCTGCAGGCGGCGGGGTGGCGATCGCTTCGAAGACGGCTATGTCAGCCTGCGAAGGGACGTACCTGCGGAGAGCAAACCGAGTTATCTGCCTTGCTCGAGACACGCAAGAACACGCGGAGCAGCGACGGTCGCCGGGCCGACTCAGGGCCCTCCCGCGTCCCCACCGCTCGTCTCCGCCAGGCCCGACTCACGTTCTCCGCGCCCAGCATCCTCCCCCCGCAGCCTCTCACCCCTCGATGTAGCTCTTGTCGGCCAGGAAGTCATTGAGGACGCGGAGGCCCGCGGCGGACTTCAGGTCGCCGAAGCCCATGGCGGCGGCGCGCGGCCCACACGCTGCGCTGCCCCGACCGCCACTGCCGCGGGAAAGGGCCACGCCGCGCCTGCGCCGGCCTTATATAGTGCTGGGAATCCCTCCGCGGCACTGCACGCGGTGTGTCCCTCCGCGAGAGCGAGCCGCGAGGTAGCTCCTCAGGGGTTGACTGCCACAGCGCAGGGCGGGCAGCGGGCGGGACACCAGAGGTGCGGGAAAGCGTCGAAGTAATAGAAGGGGGGCTGACTATAAGCGCTAGGAAGGTTTGGGGCGTTACACGGACTTTGTAGCACTGTACTGTCGCCACACCCCGCCCTGCTGGCAAAGCGGAAGTTGCCGGAGTTGAGCGAAGAAAGAGGCGGAAAGGGACGGAAACTGCCGAGGGAAGGGCGGCGCGCGTGACGATGGCCGAAAAGGCTGTGGGCTGGCGGCGGAACTGACGCATGTCATCGTTCCCCTAGAGCCCGCCGGAAATACCCGAAGTGGTTCGCTCCGGAGGTTGCCGAGCGCGGGCTGCCCCGTACGGAGATTGCCGAAGGAGGCTCCGGAGACAGCCGAAGCAGGCTGAGGTCGCGGCGGAAAGGCCCGAGGCCGCTGCCGCAGAGGCCGAGGCGGAGCGCAGCCGTCCCGCGGCGCCGCCGCCGTCCCGCCTCAGGTAACGGCGCTGCCGCCGCTCCGGGCGCCGCCGCCGCCGCTCCCGGTGCCCTCGGCGGGCCGGGCGGCGGGCTGGGGGCTGCCCGGCGGCGGCGGCGCCTCCAAGGTGACCCCGCCGGGTAGCGCTGCCGCCCGCCGTGCCCTCGGCCCGGGGACGGCGGCACCGGGCCCGCCGCAGCCGAACCGCGCTGGCAGCGGGGCTGGGGCTCCGCTGCGGGCGGAGGGGCCGCTCAGAGACGTTCCTATGTGTGATGTATAGATTGGTAGAGATCATATGTTGCGTTTGAGGGAGGTAACTCAGCGCCCCATAAGTGTACATATAGGTGTGCGTCCGTGCTCCTTTGCGGCTGGTGTAGGAGTTCTTACTCTACCTGTTTTAAACTTGCCAGCAAACATTTGAACTGATAACAACAGTGCTCTTTTCTCTCTTACCAAAGCACCATGCTTCGACTGCTTGCTGTCCCCAGGACCTTAGCTGGGGTCACCCAGTCCTCCAGAGTATGTGGTAAGTGTCTGTGGTTTACATCTGGGTCTCTGGGGATAAATGTATGTGCAGTTCATTTACCGGAGGGCACATATGCGTACTTGCTTTGCAGGCTAAAGGATTCTGTGTTGCACTCTTGGTAGAATTGGGATTCTATCAGCACTCTATAAGGAAAATCAGGAGTAGGGGGTCTGGTGGTTTCCATCTAGCAGTAAGTGAAAGTTGTTTTTGTTTTCTTTTTCTGTGTCCTTCAGGGCGTACAACTGCAACAGCAGCCAGCAACCAGATAGAGGTGTTTGTGGATGGCCATCCTGTATTGGTGAACCCTGGAACCACAGTCCTGCAGGTGTGGGAAATGACATTCTCAATTCTCTGGGACTTCCCATCTCACTTCTTGGCAGCATGTTCTGTTCCATTCAGCAAAAAGCCACCTGCCTTTACATCTTGCAATTCTTTAGGGGTGTTTTAACTCACTGTGATGCAATTTCATGTGACAGACATCCCTGGGGGAATTCAGTGTTTGAAAAAGAAAAATATGCCATGGTTGCTTAAAAGAAGATGCATGCAGCATCAATCCCAGCTGCAAAACTATTTAATGCAGTAACAGACTTCAATAAATTCTCATTGAACTTGACCTTGTAGTCTTTCAGAATCTGTACATTTTGTATCTTATTACAGTGTATCTTGGGTAAATGAGGGATTGTCTCCTTTCAGTTATTGGTTGTTAGGATTCAGAGTGCTCATGCTTAGCTGCTTTTATTATTGTTGGTGTGGAAAGAAAGGGAACCTGGATCTTCCAGCCTGTACAGAGCATTGTTACTTTCCAGGATAAAGTTTCAAGTAAAGATTTTTTTTAAGAAGTCATTAAATGAAGATGTGATATAATGAGTTAGAGCATTAAAATATGCAGTTTATTTCTAAATATAGCCCTTGTTCTTTGGATACAAGTTACTAATTTATTTAGGCATTAGAATGTCCCCAGCAGGAACCTAGTGCAAATTTTTCTTAAATGTTATTTTTTTAAATTTGCTTTTAAGTTTAGATAACATGGTTCTTTTTGGTAGAAATTGTCAGACAAGCTAGACCTTGTTAAAGTTTTTTTACTAAATTCGGTAGTATTTCTTCTGGCAGGCATAGCTATAATGCTGTAGCATAGATCCCATTAGCTGTGGGGGTTTTATGCAGAGAAGGCTGTCTTCAGTTGGTCTCTGGAAATCTGTTGGTTCTGTCCTCCAGTCTCTATTTCTGTCATGTTGTCTTTGAGTTTGGGCTCTGCTGAAGTTTAAGATTGACTCTGCTGGAGTACCTTTATACAGAGGATCTGTGTTGTTGGATTATCAGAAATCATTCTGCTCATGGTGCTCTTTTTACATTTTTCAGTTTTTATTGTGATGCACTTTTCTGTAAAGAGTCTGTTTTTTAAAAAAGTTATTTGTATTATTAGTGCCCTGTTGCAGAGAATTCTCTCTATTATTGGAGGAAAGAATCAAAGAGAGGTCAGTTTTCATTTCCTCAATCACTTATAAAGGTTAGAAAAACTATATTTGTAATTGATATCCTGACTTTTTTTTTGCTTTGTCACAATTTTTTATTTATGGTCACTTCTTAAGATGAAAGGTCAAGTGCCTTCTATTCTTGAGCATTGACAGTGTTACTCTTTGAAAAGCTGCATGGTGTTTTCTGAGGTGAAACTGAAAAGTCTAATTAAGATTTAATTTTCTTCCATTTCTTATTTTTTTTATAGGCCTGTGAAAAGGCTGGAGTTCAGATACCTCGTTTTTGTTACCATGACCGTCTCTCTATTGCTGGAAACTGTAGGATGTGTCTTGTGGAAATTGAGAAAGCTCCAAAGGTATTGTTTGTGTTTCACAGGAATTGCAATATGGAATATGCAGTATAGAATTCAATAGGAGTTTTTTGCTGTGCTTGGGCCTAGTTTAAATCTTTTAAGTAATTGTTATTATTCTCTTGGACATGGGCATTTGATAGCTGTGTGTTTGCTGTTAGATGCATTTTATGCTTTGTAGTTCAAGCTTCAGCCACACACGTTCAGCTGATACTACATAGATAATGCACTTCAGATACTGTATGAATTTAGCTATAGGATTAGTAACTGCAGGTTCATTGTAAGTAAAGATTGCAGTTAGGTAGTTAGTAGTTTATATGTTAATGCATTGGTATCTGTTGTGAAATAGTTGATTTCAGGAGTGAACACTGTCTTCAGCAGTACTAAGAAATCTGTGCACATTCTTTTAGGGTTCAGTCTTGGATTACACATTTATACTCACACATAAAAATTTTTAGCTCACCCCAACTTCTATTCCATACTTTGAGCTTTGTGTCTCTGGATATGTTGAGTTATCACTAAAGGTGGAAGTCATGATGTGATTGAAAAGTAAAAGGGATTTGTTTACAGAGCAGGAGTTTTTGTTACTCTTGCAGTAATCTTGAGAAGAATTTTATTCCAAGACTTTATACAGGCTTTGTGCAAATAAGTGTCTTGTAAACGATTCATACTCTGAATTCCAGTTCTAGAGGTTTTGTAGATGTCTGCTGAAACTGTTTGATTTGCCTTGTCTCTATTACAACTGAGATTCTTAATGCTGTAACTACACAAATTGAGACTGGAAATTGTAGAATTTTAAACTGTGAATAAATCATAACTAATTTAACCTTTTTATATAGCAGATTATTAATGAATATGGCTTCTAGTGACGTTATCAGTTAGACTCTTTTTGATTTCTTTGCAGACCTCTTTATTTCTATTTATTTATAACAGATACCTATGTTAGAATTGGGGGGGAGGAGGTGTGGGTTTGTGCCCATGCTGAGAAGAAAAATATTTGTTTCATGCTTGCTTTTTATTGTGATTGCAGCCAGTTGCTGCTTGTGCCATGCCAGTCATGAAGGGCTGGAATATACTGACAAACTCTGAGAAGTCCAGGAAAGCAAGGTATCTTTCTTTAGCCTCCTTTGGCTGATTAGGTGTACTATCTGCTAAGTGGTGTTAAGTTGACATTAATTTAATTCTCTGAACCTAACAGAGAGGGTGTAATGGAGTTTCTTCTGGCAAATCACCCATTGGACTGTCCTATCTGTGATCAGGGTGGAGAATGTGATCTACAGGTACAAAATCCAATTAAATTATGTAGACTTCTGTATAATGCTGTTGTCTTAGGTGAAATTGTGCTTTCCAGCAGCCTGTGTTCTATTGTCTGTTATAGGACCAGTCAATGATGTTTGGCAGTGATAGGAGCAGATTTAGAGAGAGCAAACGTGCTGTGGAGGACAAGAACATTGGCCCCTTAGTCAAAACCATCATGACTCGGTGTATACAGTGCACTCGATGCATCAGGTAAAGCCCTTTACTTTGAGCAGAGTACTAAGCAGGCATATTTGTGTCAGTTTGTAACTAGTGAAAGAAACCCCGTGGGGGGTAGTCAGTTTTTTAAAAAGTTATTTTCTGATTGTACTTAAAAATTTTATTTCTGTTAGTGACTGATAGCTGGTTTCCTGGAGCTACCAGACAGGAAATAGAGAAAGATGGCCAATGCATGAAAGTGAAATCAGAGTTCTGCAGGGCAGAACTGGTCCCATGGTGTTGGTGCCAGAATGGATATGTGACTTCCTCAGCCGCAGTTGTAAGATTTATTTATTTTTGATAGCCTCTGGTAGCTATATTTACTCTGTTCTGTAGCCCTGAGATGCTCTACTGGCCAACTTGAGCCAGATGAAAAAGAATACAATGTACCCAACTAGTTCTAGAAAGAACTTGTTACTTAGGACTGACCTTAGACTCGGTTAGTGTAATACAGTGAGGGTTGAACTGCTGTTTTATGATATACCTCCCCCTAGTTTTTGTAGCCCTTTCTGAATGAAATTTTGCAGATGGTCTGTAGGTGGTGGTGCTGACTAATGCACCTAAACAATTGTTTTCTTCTTTCAGGTGTATGAAATAATGTTTTATCTTAAGAAAATGAGATGAGGGCTGAAAAACGTTCTGTGTTGCTGTTGTGCATGCCAGATGTGTTTCTCCTTCTTTGTGCACCTCCCAGGTTTGCTAGTGAGGTTGCAGGGGTAGATGACTTGGGAACAACCGGAAGAGGAAATGATATGCAAGTTGGTACTTACGTTGA